AAAATCATTAAAAACCTTCCTCCTGGGGTCATTTCTCCACCAGTGTTCAGGAATGAGAGAGTTCTGCCAATCCAAGCTAGTCTGTAGGAAGGTAACACTCACTCTAGGAGTTCTCAGAGCTGACTCACAATAGCAGGTTTTAGCCACCCTCAGGGGACCCTGATCCTGGCTGACGACCACTTCTCTGACAGTCGGAGCCTGAAAGGTAGCTTTTCTTTCTTTTCTCATTTTTATCTCTAGGTTTCAGGTTCAGAGAAATTCCCTTTCCTATCTTCTTTTACCGTCCACATTTCTACTACACTATACCTGGACTTAGTCATCCCTGTTCTCTCATAGAATTTCTGGATTATAAAAACTTGTTTTCTGATTTGTGATTTTTTAATATGAAGACTATTACAAAGCTTTATAGATTTTACCTGATTTATTTATACATTTGACAAACTGACTTTACTGGAAACAGCAATTTCCATAAAATTAGAAATGTTTCAGAAACTTTGGGACAGAATAGAAAGCTCTGGAAGTGGAAAATGGACAGACACAAAAAGTATGTAATGAAGGTGTCCACAATGACTGGGCAACCAGCCCCTTAGAGGACAAAAGTGCTCTGAAAAGCTCTCACAGTTCTACTTCCAGGCCTCTGGAAATTTCTCTGGACTCCAGCCTCCATTCAGCAATCTGGTTGTCTCCCTCACTTCCATTTTTTTACTTCTAATTGTATTTCCTAAGTGGGTCCATGTGTGTGCATGTGCGTATGTGTATGCATACGTGTATATAGTTGCATGTGTGCATAAGTGTGCATGTATATGTGTGTGCATGTGTCTATGTATTTGTGTGTATGTGCATTTGTGTATGAATATGTGTATGCATGTGTTCGTGTGTGTTGTGTGTATATGTGGGTTGTGTATTTGTGTATATATTGATCTGAATTTGCTTCCAACAAATTCAATGATAAAGGAATAGAATGGCACTAAACTTTTTAAATACTTTGAACTGCCTATGTTGTTGTGAGAGTCCTAAGGAGTGAATAAAACAGTTTTGTTTTTGAATTGGTGGGCTTTCACATGGGGAGACAATTCTTGGACATAGGTTCTTAGGCAAATTTGGCTGCCACCTTCTGACCTCTGCTGAGTAAATAAAATGATAGATAGGAAAATATTCTAAACATTTAGAAAGGCCATCAACTCTAAGTATAAAACATAGCATTTTGCTATTGATTTGTAATAATGTTGAATACTACTTATCGAATAAATTTTAGAAGGGTGCCAGCCCCTACTGCCTCTACTGCCAGAAAGCCAAGTTATTTGGTCAACTCCTTGTTTTGTTCACTCATTTCCAGACCAAGGTCAGGAACAAGGAGGGTTGTTCACAGTAGTTTGGTACAATGCCTGCCACATAATTAACTGTGTATAAATATCAACTTTTACTCTTCTCACAGGCCAAGGGGTTATTTCACGTAAGTGTATTTCTCCAGCTGCTCACCATGGGCACTCACACTGTACCTTGCGCCATGGCCAGGATATACTGGGGTCTGCAAAAGGAAGACATCATCTGTGTCCTTAGCTGTGATTCCAGCCACTCCGAGAAGGTTCAGGGCCTGTGTCTACTGTGAGACACCTCATCCCCCCCACCTCCAGGGATTAGCTTCAGGTCTCCCCCCGTTTCTCCCTTATTAGTGCCCCAGCTGTGGTCACTCTGGTGACTTGACTTAGGAGATTGAATCAGAAGAGCAGAGAAAGTCACATTGGCCATTTCCGCCCCCTCTTACCTCAACATGTTCTGATCCCCAACCAAACTACATTCAGTTGTCTGGATCCTGCTCACAGCAGACAGAAGAGGTCCAGGAATCAGCTGAGATGGCCACAATCTCCCCTCTTCCCCAAGGTGTCGCTCCAGCCACCCAGGGTCAGGACCACCATGTTTACCTCCAGGCCAGCCAATGCTACAGTTTTGGCCACCATCTTTGGTTTCCCTCCTGATTTGGCTCTTAATGAACTCTTAGCTCACTGTCACATCTGTGGATTGAGATAGTAAAGGAATATTTGGTTGTGAGAGGTTCTGGAACATCCCCATGCATCAGAATCACCTAGAGGGCTTCTTATAAACACAGTTTGTGGGTCCCACCCTGAGTTTCCCTTTCCATAGACAGAGCTGGCTTCCTGGGCTGTGATCCACACTCAGAAAGAGCCCAAGTTCGCTTTAACAAATCTGATGTCACCATCTTGAAATTCTTTTTTTAACATGGGGTCCCGCATGTCCATTTTGCACTGAGCTCTGCAAATGATGTAGCCAGTCTTGTCTGTAGGTCCAGAATAGAGCTTGAGAGTTTACATTTCCAACACATTCCCAAGTGATGCAGATGTTTCCCCCTGGAGAGCACACTTTCACAGCCACTCAGTGAGATTTTGCAGAGTTCTCCCAAAGAATAGAGGAAAAGGACAATGGCCCTCTACCCTGCCTCCTCTCTCCCCTCTACTTGATCAGATCCAATCAGAGCTCTGAAAATGGAAGAATAGTGTGGCAACTTCAGTTAGTTTTTTTGTTGTTATCATTGTCCTTGTTTTATTTTGCTTTGTTTTCACCAAACTAAATGTTCCCATGGGGCATACTGCCTTTTCAGCCCCCTCCCCAACAATTAATGTAGGCATGATTTCCCTGTCTGCACATCAGTCCAAAAACAAAGTTTTGAAGCAGGTTCAAAAAAAATATGTAAAGTGGAGCAATATCATGGTAAGTAATTTGAGATATTGGGGGAAGGAAAACGATGGAAAGAGTGAAGATAAGTGAATCTAGGGTGGGAAACACACAAAGACATCTCCCAAGCTTCAATACACCAACTCAAGTGGTGCCTGAATTCTTCTGAGCATTTTCATTGGAGACAGAAATACATTATTTATTTGCATGACTCATGGTTCCATAAGGTAAAAATAACCTGCTCGTTCAGTAGAAACCCAAATGCCCCTAGTTCTAAGACCTAGGAGAAATTTCTCCCATGGGTGCCTTTCTTTACACATTTAACTATAGGCTGAATCTGCAATTTATAACATTTTGTTGAATGCATTCTATTCTATATGTGCTATAACACAGATGAGCAAGAGATGAGAAAGAATTATTGAGGTCTTAGTGAGCTAAAATTTGACATTTTCAAAATTTTCCCCCCAATATGAGAGGGCAAAAAAAAACCACAAAATAAAACATTGGTAGCCCTGACTTCTTTTCTCTTGGCTAATGAATTGACTATCCTTGAAAAGTCCCATAAAATAAGGCTTTATGTACTCACTATTATTGATAATAAAACCATGACTTATTCCTGCTGAGTAGACGTAAGACATTTTTATTAATGACTGGAAAAATGTCAACTGAACAGGGAAAACAAATGAAATTAGCCAAGTAATACAATGTCTAGCCCTGGTCAGAACCCAGAACCCTGATTTTGAGCTGAGCTGAACTAAGCTCCATGTTAACTACCAATTCAAAGCATTCTATTTTTCTCATTTTCATAATGGACTTTCCTCAGCTGGAGTTATGCCCCATGACAACAGACAAGTGTCCATTTGTTTTCTTTTGCGTTTCCTCAGCTAGAATTAGGGAGACTTTTCTCCCCTTTAATTAGATATGGTGGTTAAATTTCTCTTTCCCTCACTTTCCGGCAGAAATACTAAATTCCTTTTATTTTTCCTTCAAATGCATTGGTGGCCTAAAGGTCTGGAAAAATCGTCCTCATGGGGTCCTCTGATTCCTTACCCTAAGATTATCTGATATCAGTTCAAAGAGGAGGCAAGGAAAGGACTTATTTATTCCATGTGGGTAGGAAATGTCCTCGGCAAATGTGCTCAAGCCCCTGCCTGCCCCAGTGACAGCACTGTGTCACAGATGCTGAGAACTTGTTCCCCTAGATAGGAACCCCTGCTGGAAACCTGAGCCAAGCTAGATCCCCTGTGGGCGCACTTCCTCCATTTTGCATGCACAAAACCATTTGGTTAGGAAAGCATTGCTCAGGCGTGTGTTTACCTTCTTTAAGACCACAAAGGATTTGTTTTGAAAAATTAAACCGAAAGAGCAAAGACTAGTAAAGAGAAGGAAAGTAGGGGGGTGGAAAAACAGAAGCAGGTTCTGGAACTTTTAATCAACCTGTGATTGTTTCCCTTCAAGATGTTGTCAGGGCCACTGTTTTGAGGAAGGTAGAAAATAAAGATGTTTCCAGGTAAGACTTCCCACACTCCTTTCATGTTCCTGAAGTTCTCATTTTGCTGTTCCACTTACATTTGCACCATTATTTCTGTTGCTGTGACAACGCACACATATAAGATTATGCTATGGTATGCTAATTAGCATGTCTCACATCGGTTTGTAAAAAAACACTAGTGCCTTGCAGAATCCTTTCAGATTTGGACTCTAGTGACAGTCATACATTTATCTTTTTCAGCTACCGTTTTATACATATAACACTCATCCCCAACAGTAGCATTATCATCTTCGTCGCAAGAAGGATGGATTTACTTACACTAAGTATATTTAGGGAGGAGAAAAGTCCATAAAGCCATAGTGAACTTTGAAGCAAAGTGTCAACCCTAGTTTTATCAGAATTCTTTTTAATTCAGGATATTGATGAAGGTAAAAGAGTTATCTGCTAGTTTTTCCTTACTTAATGGTAAGCATCAGGCTTTAATTTAAAAGTGGACACAAGAGTTAGTCCCTGAGGCACTTCAGCGATGCATACTGGCGATCACAGGGACCCATCTGGGCTTGGCGCGCTCCCCTCCTTCCCCGGCTCATGTTTCCTGTTTCATCTGTTGGGTTTTGCTGCCATCTGCTGGCCATTACGTGGCAACGCTTTCACTTCATGGATGTAGACGTCTCGGAGCATTGTTCAAAAGGTCTTTTTGTTTCAGCACCTGTGTCCATGCATTCTTCTCCTGTCAGTTGTGTAACGGTCGTATCGTTTGACTCTGGTCGCTACTGGTTAACACACTCACACACCTTTAATTGTTTTGTTGTGCCAGAAGCCCTGACATGTTGCAGTCGGAAGTTTCCTTTTCCGTGGGAGGGAGGCACTCTTCTACAGACTCCAACAAGGCCTCCAGCGGCGACATCTCCCCTTATGACAACAACTCCCCTGTGCTATCCGAGCGCTCCCTGCTGGCTATGCAAGAGGACGCGGCGCCGGGGGGCTCAGAGAAACTTTACAAAGTGCCGGGGCAGTATATGTTGGTGGGCCACTTGCCGTCTTCAAAGTCAAGAGAGAGTTCTCCTGGACCAAGGCTTGGGAAAGGTAACTGGAACCTGGCCGGCCGACGCTGGCCAAAACAAATGACCCTGCTCTTGTTACGTGTGGCATGGAGTGGGGCTGTCTCGGCCCTTCTCTTCAACTCTCCCTTGTTTGATGTTCCTGTAATTGAATGAGCACTTAGTGGGTACCAGCCTCACTCCTGCTCCAGGAAGAGGAAGGTGTGACAAGTCCAGTTGGCTGGGAGAGGGCTCCGTCTCCACAGCCCTATCCTCAGATATCTGGGAAGTAAGCACCTGCCCAGAGGAGCCACTTGTATTCCCAGCTGACTCTTTTTCCTTCCAGCATCTGAGGAAATTTATGTGTCCTGGCTGGTGGGTTTGGGTTGCATATTTGCTAGTCTAAGATGTCATCCAATTACTGCTGTTAATTTTCCAAAGAAAAGTTGAGCCTGCTCTGTAACAAGACAGCGTGCCAGAACCAGTAGTGTTAGCATCCAGTGACAAGAGCACTAGGCTTGGAGTCAGAAACCTGCCAGTTTCAACCAGGCTCTAGAGTGAGTGAGTGAGCTTTTCAGGGTCACATTTCCTCCTGCTGTGAAAATTCAGAATGATAACAGTCTTAAATTCAGTGGATTTAATTAGTGAATCCACATAAAGCCCTTAATGTAGCACTTAGCTTGTAATAAGCACTCAATGAGACTTGCTATGTAATTGTGTGTGCATTTCTTACCTGCTCCTTAAACTAGTTGCCTCATCTGCAAAATGATCTCCTGGGAATCTCCTAGGGATGGAATGAGATAATGCTTGTGAACTGCTGAACGCGTGGAGGCATCCAGTAGACGTTTGCTTCTGTGACTCATAATCATGATCCCATAACAGGATTGTAGTGAGGATTAAATGAGATGGTGGAAAAGCCTAATATAATACAGTGCCTTCCCCCATAAATACTTATGGGCAAACTGAGGGGGTTGATGAGTGAATGCGTGCATGAAGAAACACATTGATGCCAGTAGCAGAGTATTCCTGAGGGTGGTGCAGAACTGTAACTGTTGTTCCTCTATGTTCATGTGCTTAGTGCCTGTAAGGCCATTCCCACCCATCACCCTTGTATTAGTTTCCTACTGCTGCTTTTGCCACAAACTTAGGGGCTTAAAACAACATACAAATTTGTTATTTTACTGTTCAGGAGATCAGAAGTCTCAAATGGATCCACAGGGCTGCCTTCCCTTCTGGAGGTCCTAGGGCATCATTTCCTCGCCTTTTTCAGTTTCTAGAGGCTGCTGCATCCCTTGGCTCATGGCCCCTTCCTCCGTCTACACAGCCAGCAATATAGCAGCAGCTTCTCCCCTGCCTCATTCTTTCAAGGACCCTTGTGATTATATGGGGCCACCCAGATAATTTAAGCACATCTGCAAAGCCCCTTTTGAATATAAAATAACAGCTTTATAGTATCTAGGATTATGACACAGATGATTGGGGTGTGGACCTTATTCTGTCTACCACAACCATGATATAGAAAGAGCCTTTTTGTAAATCCAAAATGGAATAAGCCTCCTGAAAAGCAAGTCTAAATTGTATTCTGTTTGTATCCAAGACTATCTCAAATTCAGATCTTGGCACAGAAGAGATGTTATAAAAATATTTGTTTATTGATTTCTGTCCTTAAGTCTTCATTTTATGTTATATGCCTTTTTATACCATTTTTTTTCTAGATATGTCTGAGGAACCTTTCAATATCTGGGGAACTTGGCATTCAACATTAAAAAGTGGATGCAAAGACCCAGGCATGACAGGTAAAGTACTATCTTTAAACTTCATTACATTTACTTTTTTTTTTTTTTTTTTTTTGAGACAGAGTCTCACTCTGTCACCCTGGCTAGAGTGCAATGGCATCATTATAGGTCACAGCAACCTCAAACTCCCCAGCTCAAATGATCCTCCTGCCTCAGCCTCTCGAGTAGCTGGGACTGCAGGCACTGCGGGTCCAGCTAACTTTTCTATTTATAGTAGAGACAGGGGTCTCGCTCTTGCTCAGGCTGGTCTTGAACTCCTGGCCTCAAGCAATCCTCCTGCCTCGAGTGCTACAGAGTGCTACAATTGCAGGCATGAGACACCGTGTCTGGCCTACATTTACTTTTAAAATTAATTTTCTTTAATTTTTGCTTTACTGTCATTATATTACATGCTTATCAAACAGAATTTGGGAAATGCTGAAAATCGGGAGAAAAAGGATAAAACTCTCATTAGGCTTTCCACCCAAATATGCCAACTTTTGACTGTATTTCATTCCATTTCTTTTGGAAAAGTTTTCAAATATTATGATCATTCTGTTTGTGCAACTTTATGTGATTTTCTAACTTCCATTTTCCAGTTATTTCCCATTATCCTTTTTAAGAGCAAAGGAGTATTCCACAGAGTATATGTTCATAGTTTACAACCCAATGCTTGGGCAACTAAGTTGTTTCAATTTTTTGTTGCTGTTGTTATAAGTGATGCTGTCAGGAGCCTCTTTTATGTACCTTTAAAAATTTTTTTAAATTATTAATAGAGTCACAAAATTTTGGAAAGCAAGTAAAAGCTTATAAATGCCAAGGAGGGAGGTGAGTCAAATATTATGAATGGTTCCAAGAATTCGGAGGTAGTCACCTCGCATTCTGTGGGCTATGGGCCACCCTAGCTTGTGTTCTGTAAGCAGCAGATGGCAGGGCATTTCTCACTGCTATCTGCAAATCTCATCAGCATCGCAAATTAGTGAGTTTTCATTTTCACTAGCTTAAAAAACAAAATTGCATTTATCATTAAATTTGCATTTCTTTCTCACCAGTATTTTTCAGTTTTTCTATTAATTAGTGGAGTCCCTCTCCATTGAATTGTCATTTTTGTCATTTGCTGTTTATGTATGTTAGTGTTTTAAAAATTGAGTCTTATGAACTCTCTATATAATAAAGATGTTATCATCAGTATTATTTGCCACTGATATTATCCCTGGCATATTTTTTCCTTTTTTTTTTTTTCCTGCTTTGGCTATCTGGAAGTTTTTATTTTACTTTTTGACATAATTAATTCTACTGCTGTCTCTTTTTGTGAATTGTTTCACAAAATTAATCTGTAGTTAAGCATGGTCAGTCATCTGTATGCTTTTCTTTTTATATTATTTCATGTTTTCAACATTTAATTCTTTAATCCATCTAGAATATGTGTCAATGTATGCGATGAAATGCATAAATTATTTACTTGTTATATATATATTATGTATATAGCCCTCTTCCCATTGTTTTATAATATCTCCCATATTATCTTTTAGAGCACCATCTATTTTTAAATGTAATGGCCTCTGCCCAGCTGACTTTAGTACTGATTCATTATCTAACTATATCTCCTTGTATCCTGTGAGGAGCTTTCTTGCCTTCTCCTCCAAGGAGAAACTCTTCCAAGATGCTGTGCTCCATTTTCCTTCTCCTGTTTCAGCTTTCACCTGTTTCAGCTGTCATCTGTCTCTGTGTAAATGATATATGTGCCCCCTCCCACATGGCCTTGTTCTCTTTCCCTGCCTACTTTTTAAGAAGTGGGGGAGGGCGGGCAGGGCAGACCCATAGGAAAATGGAAGTCTGGGGAAATACGCCCCAAGGACTCCTCATCTGCCTTTTGAAATGCACTGTTTTTTCTGTCCTTTGAACTTCTTGAAGAAAGTTTTATTGGTTAGGGAGAGCTAGCTGCTGTAACAACCCCAAATGCCAGTGGTTCAGGCTGTCACAGGTGCATTTCTCCCTCCTGCCTTAGTCCAGCGCGGGTTGTGTGAGGTGAGGAGGGGTGTGGGCGGCTGAGGAGAGGGAGTGCTTTGTTCCACATAGTCACACAGGGCCCCAGGCTCCACCATCCTGAGAGGCCTCGGAGTCTTCCGTGGTTCCTCCATGCTGGGCTGGTAGTTAGGGGAAGGGAGAGAGCAAGGAGCAGTAGGAAAACATTTGGTTGGATCTTTTACTAGACCAAGCCTAGAAATGGCTCACGCCACACCTGTCCTCATTTGTTGGCCACGCCTTGTTCCTGTGACCCTCCTAGCTTAAAGGGAGGCTGAGAAATGCCATCTAGGAAGTGGAAAGAAATGATCGGACGAACAAGCCAGTGTTTCGCACAGTGGTGAGGGGAGGCTATACACAGCAGCTGCTGCATTCATTAGCACCTGGCATGGAATGGGGCATTTTACATCCAACGCGTTTGTTTCTACAGCTTCCACCGATGTGATAGAAACATGAACACATTATAATTTGTATCTCCCCTGATCACCAATTGCATTGAACAAGAAGGGAACACTTCTTTACCCTTCTGAGTTCCGAAAAGTTTTCACACCCATGTAAAGGGGCCCCTTTCCCGAAACATAAATTGGTGACAAGGTGATTTTATCTCTTTTGACAGCTCAGCTAACCTGTCAGAGTCTAGGCATATGTGTTTGGAGCCGCCACACGAATTGAGCCAATGATCAAAAAGCATTTGTCATTTCTTTTGCTAGAAAGTTCTTTTCTTTAGGCAGCAGCAGCTAAGAGTGCACCGTGCTTTTTCGGTTTTAGAAAAGGGCAGTGGGGAGGAAAGAGCAGGAGTCTAGTCCCCAGCAGGGGTTCCACGAACTGATTCCAGTTCACACCTTCCTCTCTGGCTTCCAGGTTCCTATGGAGACATTTTTGAAAGCAGCTCCCTACGACCGGGGCCTTGCTCCCTTTCTCAAGGGAACCTGTCCCCAAATTGGCCTCGGTGGCAGGCAAGCCCCACAGAGCTGGACAGCGGCACACAGGTCACAGGGAGGACTCAGGCCCCGGCCCCGGCGGCCCCCGCGTCGCGCGTTTGCAGCACGCCCCCCTTGCGGGTCGCCGAGCCGCACTTGACCCTGAGCAGCGCCCAGGACCTCACCGAGAGCGAGCCGGACGCCGCCTGGCTGCAAAGCCAGGCCCCTCCTCCGTGCCAGAGACCCCGAGGCAGCGGGAGGGGCGACAAGAGGCCCCCTCCTCCCTACCCGGGCCCGGGCAAGCCCGCCACCGCGTCGCCCCAGCAGCCCCGAGCAGGCGCGGGCCGGGCCGTGGACCCGGGGAGCCAGACGGCCGAGCGGGGACCACGGAGAAAACTGAGCAGCGCCCACTGCCCAGCCGCCGGCGAGCAGGACGGGCGGAAGCTGGGGGAAGCCGGCTGGCTGGACTGGCAGAGAGAGCGCTGGCAGATCTGGGAGCTGCTGTCCGCGGACAACCCCGACGCCCTGCCCGAAACGCTGGTCTGAGCCGCCCCCCGGCGCCGCCTCTTCGTCCTCTTTTCACACTTTCCAGAAGCAACAACACCAGAGCAACCCAGCTCACTAGCAGACGCAGAGCGCTCACACCCTCGCCACTGGGAATCAGATTCTATTGCATAGCCAGCCTTGGGAAACACCAAAAACACAACCAAAAACGGATGGCAATGTCCAATTTAAAAACCACCCTCTTGGCTCTATATAAGATAAAACCCTTGCTTTGGGATAGCTTACTTGTTGTATTTATGTGTCTCCAGTTTTGACTATTGTATATTCTGTAACAGATTATGTATGATAATCATATATGATATATTCACAGAGAGAAAGCAAAAGGAACAATTTTTTTTGAATCACTTCACTTGTATTAAGCAATGAGAAATACTAAGCAATGAGATTCTATAGAATGTTCTAGAATGCACAAGCAGGTTTCTGTGCTTTTGCCATAGCTTTGAACTGGGGACAGCCCTTCCTTCAATGCCTAAGGAAAACACTAAGAAAAGAAAACAAAACAGAATATGAGAAGCCATATTTTTATATAAGTAGTGAGATACAAAAAGTTTATAGTCACTGAATGCCTTTTCATATGGAATAAGGGCTAAGGAAGATATTAAATTTGATACATTATGAGATATATTTTTAGAAACTGTTTAAAAGGATTCAGTTAAACAAGAAAAAGGCCGTGCCTAACACAAAAACTAATTAAGAAGTCCGTCCCATTTTAGGTCAAATTCAACTTTATATAGACCATATATAATATATATTTATGATGTATAATTTTTATGTGTTTTGCAAAACTATAAACTGGAATCCAAACTATAAACTGTTTAAGAATCTATAGAACATGATTTTCCCTTTGCCTCATAACCAGTATTAACCAAATTACATGCAATTCTTTATAAATTCAGTCATATTTGGGCTAAAAACTACAGCTTTGTGCTTACATTGTGCCAAAGGCTGAGGAAATGTTTTCTTCGGTAATATTGTGTGTATTGTAAAATGTTCCTACTGTACTTCAGTAAGTTTGAAGTTTTTCAACTGCAAAACCATTTTTGACCAGCAGGTGGCGACTTGCTTCAGTATTTTATGAGTTTTTTCACTTAAGAAGGGAAAGTGTATTATAGAAAAGTAACTTTTTTTTTTTATAAAACATGCTACTCTCAATTTTCATGTTGGTGATGAAGTTTCCAGTGGTGTTTCTTAAAGTTCTGTCTTGTGCCATGATGAATAAAAAGTTAAGCAAAGGCTTTTGTTCCCTGGCTTTAAATCTCATGAATGAACTGAACTCATGCCACTTTCCAGACATATACTTCACTATCCAGAAGTCTAAGTGTAATAACTAATGGCAACTCTATGCATATACATATATAGCTAAGGATCTAGTTAGAAAAATATCAGATGGCTTGGGGACATCAACTCAGTGACACCAAAGCATTTATAAGTTTATAATTATTTGTTGCAAGTAAAGGCTGATTTCCTCCATTGTGGATGAGGAAGTGGTTTTCTATAGGATGAAACTCAAGTTTCCTACTCTTTGGACAGATGTTGCCCAACACAATCCCTGTAAGTTATATCTGCTCTAGAGGACTTAGATGCCTAATTTGCTTCAGGGCTGAAATAGTAAAGTCTAGAGGTGTCGGGTAATATTTCTTATTTCAGAATCATTGAGATAGCTTCAGACTCTCCTGTTGGATCCAGCACTTCTGTTACTGGATGGGACTAGGGAAGGATTTGCCTGCAGACCTCCAGTTCTTCGTGGCTGCCTGATTCAGCCAAAAGTTGCAAACAAGATCCAGAGCAAGCACCACTTGATTGTGGATCGCAGGTGGCTTTTCTATGCCACCTACTGTCATTCTACTCCTGCTGACCCTGTGCCTTCTTGGCTTTGAACTTGACCGTGGTCTGTGCAGTTCCTTCCCTCCTTCTTGGACTGGACTGCATGATATATGAGATCCCCTTCCCACCACACTCTTGATGTAATAGTCTTATTTTTTAAAACTTCCAGATCAAATGGCCCTGAGATTGATATCTGCGTCAGAAAAGGTAACAAAAAGTATGTCCATCTATTAATAGATCTAAAATAAGCAGTCCAGAAAACAAGGCTGAGAATATCTTCATATACATATATATATTTTTTTCACTCTCCCTTTCTGTTTGTAACTTTAAGCCCAGTAGCCATATCTTCAGCTTAGGGAGTGAAAACTTGTTTCTTAGATGCCTTTATCCTATTCATATTGAAAATAAGCAATTTTTAAAACACACACATGAGACCCAAAGACCTGAGTGGAAATTGAAGTCCTTTCTAACACCTTGTAAATGATATAATACCTGACCAAAAAAACTCAAACTCTTTCAAGTTAAACAAAACTCCTTTAACAGAGCCAAGCACGGTGGCTCAGACCTGTAATCCCAGCTGTTTGGAAGGTCAAGGCAGGAAGATCACTTGAGGCCAGGTGTTTAAGACCAGCCCGAGCAATGTAGCAAGACCCTGTCTCTATAAAAAATTTAAAAAATTATCTAGGTGTGGTGTCATAAGCCTATAGTTCCAGCTACTTGGGAGGCTGAGGCAGGAGAATCACACTTGAGCCCAGGAGTTTGAGGCTGCAGTGAAGTATGATGACACCACTGCATTCTAGCCTGAACAAGAAAGGGAGACCCTGCCTCAAAACATTATATATATATATATATATATATATATATATATATATATATATATATATCTTTTAACAGGCTATTCAAGTCATACCTCCTGAGCAAAGAAATCCTACAAACAAGAAAGATGCTCCAATGTGACACAGATGTTTCCTTGTCTATAAATACTTGACATTGACATTCACATTGAGACAATACGAATCATTGTTTTTGTGTCATTGGCAAGGGAGCCAGAATGATGATTTGCAGAAATGGCTAAATATTAATTTGTCTTGATCCATCTAAGTAGCTATTAACCATATGTTTGTTGTGGGTTTTTATAGAAGAAAAAAATCTCTTTTACCAATGGAGTTTGTGCAAATTGAGGAAATTTCTAAATAAACCCAGCTTGCATTTTTTCTTATGCACATTTTAATACACATCTGCTTGGCAGGGAGAACCAGCACTGGGATTAAATATAAAGAGATGCCAGAACAAAGTCCAGGCCTGTGGGGTATGTCATTCTGATAAGCAAACTGCAGGAGGTAGATTATACTGAACCGAGAGAAAGGAAATGACTGAAGAAGAGTCACACAGAGATTAAAACAGGACAGCATCTCAACTGGGGCAGAATTTTAAAACAGGACTAAATCAGCAGCAAATGTTCTTCAAGAGAAAAAATACAAACCAAAGGGAAATTCCTACAAAGGTTGGAATTCTTCGGCACAGTTAAGACGACAGATGGTGGTGTGCACACAGCGATCTCTGGGGTGTGGACTTCTGATCTGGCATGGTCTTGCCCTCAAATCACCAAGGTGCACACAGCACCAGCTTGGGAGGTTGCAGAGAGGTCAAAAGATTCTCTAAGTTCAGTTCAACCAAACTCTGCTCAGCCTCGGGTGACCAACTCATCCCAGTTTGCCCAGGAAAGTCCTAGGTTTAGTAATAAAAATCCTGGGCACAGGCCATGCTATGACTGGCAGGGTGGGGCAAGGTGGCATGGGGATCCAGAGCACTCAACCTTGGCACCTTTGAAGTAGGGTGGACAGATAAGATACAATACACCCAGTTCAATTCAAATATCGGATGAACAACTGACCATGTATTAGTATGTCCCATGTAATATCTGAGACATACTTATACTCCAAAAGCATTCATTGTCCCAGATATTGCATGGGGCGTAATTACATTAAAAGGAGGTTTGTTGTTTATCTGACATTCAAGTTGAACTGAGCCTTCATTTGCTAAATCTAGCAAGCCTAATCTCCAGCCCGGATTTCCAACCCAGTCTCCAATGGCCTGCTTGACACTCTCACTGAATGTCCCGCAGTGCCTCAACTGCCCTGAAGGACCAATTGTGCTTCTACTGCTATGCTGAGCCACCTTCTCACCAGCCACCACACCATCTTTGAGGGCTCCTCCCTCTTCTCACCACTACCTCGCCTGGGATGCCAGTCTTGTCACCCCTCTGGTGTACGTCTCCTGTCTGGCCACCACCACCGCCCTCCCACCTGGCCTCCATGCTGCCACCACTCACACTTCCGAAATGCACATCTTGTCAGAGGCACACCACTGTTGAAAAACCGCTGATGCCCTCCTCGCCCTCTGGTTTACAGGACAAAGTCCACATGACACGGTAACACCAAACACGCTCCACCATCTGGTCTCATCTACCTTCCACCTCTCATCTTTCCCCAACACGGTACCCTATACTCTGGCCATACACAGAAAACCCCCATTTCCACCTGCAGGGCACATTTTGCATTTCTGTTCCAGGGCCTCGATCACTCTTCCCTACTTTTCTTATTTAATCAATGCTATTTTCCTTGCAAAATTAGCTCAAACTTTCCCTTCCCACAAACATGATGAATCACAGCTTTGCCCACATGGCTGTGTTAACAAGCATCCTGTGCATCACGGCTACTGTCTTATGTTTTAATCTGGAGGTTGTTCCTACTCTGTCCCTGAGGGTGGGAAGGGACACTTTTCTTTTCCTCACAACTGGGCAGAGACCTGTCACATAGTTGCATTTGATAAATGCTTGCTGAAAGTATGCACGTGCCTATGATTAAGCAGCTTACCATGCAGTGAAGGAAAAATACAAGTCTACTGACCTGGCCAATAAATGCACAGATAACAGTATATTTTCTGGATAAAAAGGTTTTTGAAGAAAGGAGAAGATGGTATAAGGAGAAGCCAGTGGCAAGCACAGAGACACAGTCTCTTAACCAGTACTGCCCTGCAAAGACGAGTCACCCCAGCTATGTGCTGTATGGAACAAAGAAGACAGATGGCTTGTGATATATTACCTTTCCATTCCTAAGATTAAAACTTGAATGGTAAATGTGGTAAGTAAATGTATATTTCTATGCTCCCTGGTTAGTGCTGAATAAATACTAATGATTGAAAAAGCAAGGACATGTCAAGGTGTGGGCTTTGGAGAACAGGGTTTGAGTCTTGGCTTTACCATTTATTAGCCGGGTGACCTCAGACAAGTTGCTTTAACCTGGTGACTCTCCATTTTCTCAGAGCAGTCGGAACCTAATAACAGGGTTGTTCTGAGGGTTACGTGAGGAAAATACCTAGAGAAATATTCGACAAATGGCAGTGTAGTTGGTGTCCCAAGTGAAGTCATTTTAGAAACGAAAATTGGGCACATTTGCTGTGAAATGCAGGTGGGATTAGCTAACATTTATTAATGACTTCTGCTCTTGTCTAAATGTTTCATGCACATTAACTGATTTGACAGCCCTCGTTTTCCAGAAGGCACAATTGCCTTACGGTGATAGCAAATGAGTTGCCCAAAGCCACACGGCTAGAAGGCAGCAGAAGCAGGATTTGGTCACAGGCCATACGACTGTGCCACCTGCTGTTTGGAGAATGTAGAGTCAGTGAACAGAACTCTGTGGTTATTTGCCGGGCAGCCCAGAACATCTCTCCAGCTCAAGTGAGCGGCCACCATGAAAGCATTTTCCTTTTGAGACCACAATTCACATAGAAGCAGCACACAGCATAAGAGGGGTTTTCTGTGACCCAGTCGGGGGGCCATTGTCTTTACCCATTGTTTTCCTGCCTACTGTCATCACCTGTGGAAGTTATGTGAGAAGATGTAGTTTCAAAGGAAAGGTTTTCATTATTAAAACAAAACAAAGGTAGAATGGTGCAACAGTCAGAAGTGAGGAGAGCAGGGGGACCCTAAAGAAGAAGCAGGGGAAAAAACAAAACTGGGAAAGTGGCATTTGCATTGAAGATTTGCTTTCCCATATCCTGCTTGGAACTTTGACCCATGGCTATGTGAATGTGTGGCAATTGTAAATGCATCACAAAGACGGGGGCGGGGCAGAAGCACAAAGGACTCAAAGGATGCCAGACGAAAGCAAAGCTCAGATCATGCTCCCTGGTCCAGCAGCAGCCCAGCAGCGTCAGCGTCTCCTGGGAGCTCGTTAGGAAGGAGGATTCACGGCCCGCCCCGGGCCTGCAGGATCAGGAACTCTGGGTGAGGGCCCAGCCATCTGTGTTTTAACAAGCCCTCTAGAGGATTCCAATATACAATACACAAAAGCTGGAGAAGCATCTTGCTGGGGAAATGACAAAAGGGAGAGAGATGGAGCGA